CCAAAATCCCACTGGCTCCTGAACACCCAGCTCGTTCTCGAATGCACTGAGGGTGACCTGTCAGTACCAGCAGGCTTGTAAGGTGTCTTCTTACATAAATGTGAAAAAAAAGTGAAAGATGTAAAGCTACACTTGTCTTTTGTCTATAGATGTCTTAACCTGTCAAAGACCATTTATTTGAGACCAGAAGGCAATGCTACATATACATATATACCGGTGGAATCAGCAGGAGAATCCAAATATGCACACCACGGTCTCTTGCTTTCCCCCAGTCCGGCGCACCAGCTGTGGCTTGACGCTACCAAGTGCCTCAGACCGTCATGGCAGATTGACACGACACATCTTGACACCAAAATTTGGGTACAGATTGAAGCAGGGAGATCCTCTCCGTACTTGAATTCAAACCCAAAGGTGTTTCTCTTACGAGTTGATCTCATTTCATCACGGTCGGAGATCCCTTGAGATCCAGACCTTGCGGCCGCTGGCAGTCAGAGCAGCAAATGCGGCACCAGCCACTGCAAGAGAAGCTGTTTTGCTGGAGGCAGCCTGAAATTGAGTGCTGAAAATGACACACTCCAAGACGGTCCAACTAAAACATTGATCCCATGCCTGCAGACAAGGTGTAGATGCCGCAGAGGCTGTGGTAGAGGCCTAGCTTTCCATACGAACGCGAGCAAGTCCCAGGTTGGATTGACACGCGGGTGGCCCCAAAATCCTTAGGAGGGCATCCAGCGTAGGAAACCTGCAAAAAACCAACCATGGTTGTCGACGACTTTGATGGCTTGGGCCACTCTGAAGAGACATCCTTCAGATCTGTGGCACAAAACAACCGGACTCTCTTGAGTGACAAGTGGTGTTGGAGGGACTTGATGTCGCCATACTGTTCCGTCTCCCGGGGCAGCCATGAAGTTATTGACCTGCAATTAGTTGTAACTACATCTGTGCATCAAAGGGCCTACATCTAGGACAATCTAAGGTATATGGAGAAGATAAGATTTAAAAAATTGCAATGAGAATGAATACATATCTATATATACATGTATACATACGAGTCGGGGCATCTGACTTTTTTGTTTCTACTGAAGGAACTTAGATCAAACAACCGCACATTGCCTTCGCGCCTTTCCCAGGACTCAAACCGCTTTGAACTGGATCGAACAAGCGACTCGAAGGTGGCTTGTAGTGGGTGCTGCTACGAAGCTAGCACCGCTGAAGAGTGCAGCTGCACCTGGAGGTCGCAAAAAAAAAAATTGTTGGGCCGGTGAAAGAGTGAGACGGCCAAGGATTCTGTACGAAGTGAGACAGTATCTGATTTTCTATATAATCAGTGTTGCGGTTCTTTGGTATTCATGTCCAAAAAGAATCTTGATTGTTCGAACATGAGTCTGTATGATGTATACAGTCCCACACATAGGCTAGCTGACTTACAAACAGTTCCACATAGGTCCAGGTTCCTGGACAGGGACCCCCAAA